CTAGGTTTACATCGAGCGCTCTATGAAATATTCGCCATTTATTGGCTAAAATACCAAAAGTGCATTCTACCATCCGGCGTGCTCTTGTGTGTCTATAATTGTAGACTTTTTTTTCATAAGATAAGCCCCTTTTAGCATAAGGACGTAAAATATTATTTGAAAGCCCAAACGCCTCATCAGCCACAAGATAAAATGGCATTTGTTTCCCATTATCGTCATGGAGCAATATTCTTCCATTCGGAATATTCAATCTGTTTTCCTCTAATCTTTTTCCCACAATTGAATTTTTAAAAACACTTGAATCACAAGAACCTCCATATGCACCAACATCAATATAAATAAATTTGTAATCGGCATCAGTCCAAGCCATTAACACCATAGAATGGTATTTTTTATAATTAAAAAATGAAGATCCAGAGTTATTTGGTTGAATTAACCGAATATGTTTCCCGTCGAGGGCACCAATGACATTAGGGAAATTAGTTCTAGTATAAAATTGGTCTGCAATTTCAACCCAATCTTCTTCTGTCCTTTGAGGCATGTAAACTGGTTGCATTGTTGCCCAAATTTGATCACACGTATCTCTTACAATGTCTCTTATAGTTGTTGCTCCTATTCGATATGTAAATGAGAGGGTATTGAAGCTGTTGCCAGTTGCCAGATATCTGTAAAAATATATTACGTATTACATAAAAATATACAGAGTGTAACAGAAACAAACAAACAATCAAATCCTTCCTCTTTATAATATTAGTATAGAAGTATGGATAAACTTCAACTTTTGTAATTATTATCTGTTAAATAGATAATTAAGTCTACATTTTATTGCATACATATACAGGTGCAGAGGTCCAACAAAAATGGCTCAACTTGAGAACCTGCTTTTCAAGAGAATTGAAGGCTCAAAGAACAACATCCGGACAAGCGGCAAAGAAACGTCGAAAATATCGATATTTTGAAAAGTTGCTATTTCTAAAATCTTCATTAACAGAACGACCCACTGATGGTAATCTCGATTCCACTGTAGCTGAAGACGAAGATGAGACTGAAACCTCTGACATTATGGGCTCAAACGTACCTAAACAACAAAATAAAAGGAACAAAAAAGTTACCTCACTTCCGAAGTTTGAAGAATCTTTGTTAAACATACTAAAAGATGATTTAGACGAAGACAAACATTTTGCTCTCTCTTTAGTTCCTACGTTACAGTCTATGACAGACGACGAAAAATTTCAAGCCAAAATTGAAATACTTCAAGTATGTCGAAGGATAAAAGCCAACAGACAACATATTCAATCTTCCGTAACACTTCCTTCACGTAACATTTTGTTACAGCCTTCAACAACCAATTTCATACAGGATACACCAACAAATTTAGTACATCAAATAAGTCAGCAACCTGGTTACTCTGCATTTGCTACAACTCATATTGATGTTTCTAGACCTGAATATATCCGACAATGCCCATCTACAAGCTCCCGACATTCTGCGGATAGTGTGCAAAGTTTCATATCGACTTTCACACCTTCTCCGCACAGCCCTCTACTCGACTTGAACTAAAATTCCATTTAAGCTTTACAAACTCAATTATGTACTGGCTGTAATTACATATTATTAAAATAAAACATGTATTTTCATTTATTACTTACCTTAAAGTAACACTAAGTCTCTCTTCTACTGATATGGCGCATCTCCATATTGTATCTTGGCGTTTTATAAAAGGAGCCACGAATGAAATTATTTCATTAAACGTTTCTTCACTCATTCTATAATATTTGAAAAACTTGTCTGGGTGCTCTTTTAGCTTAGAATGTAACGTATGAAATATTCCACTAGATAATCTATCACTGAGTACAGGATGAACACAGTATCTTCTTTTTCTATCTCTCTTAAAATTTCTATAAAGCAAAGCACAGAGTAAAACTTTCTTGTTAATAGACATTGTTTGTAAAAACCTTGACTCGAGCGTTGCTGAATGCTCCGATTTGAGGCGAAAAAAAAATCGATAGTATGCGCACTTCCATCAACTAAACTATTTAGTTGAGTAGGAATCACGAAAAGTACACAACTCGACGAAACAGTTTTGTCGATACAACAGTTGTATGTATGCGCTAGCCCTTAGTGAAATTTTTGACTAAGCCAGAACCTAATCCTGTCGAAGAGATTGAGAGACCAAAACGGTTAAAACATAATCTTACTAAGAAAGAAGGTTCAGTAAGAAACACGCGACGTTTTTGTAATAACTGTTACAAAATAAATGTTGGATTACACGGTTCGACAACAGCTGCCAGAAACAAAACAAAAAACGTTTCAACATTTTGCAACGAATGTGAAAACAAACCCCACTTATGTTTGCCGTGTTTTAATATGATCCACAAGAAGTGATGTTTTTTGTATAATTAGCAGTTACTATACTATTTTTACTCATTTCCTAATAAATCTATTCATAACTTACCTAATAGTTGCAGTTATTATTAACTTTTCTACAATTTTGGCCTTCAAAACATTTTCGGAAAAACTCGTACAGTTTTCTCAAAAATGATTTGGAGGTCAAAAAATACTTTTTTTTTATGTATAAAAGATGTATGTATAAACTATATTAAGCTACTTTCATAGCGAAATAATATTAAGTGTTAATTGAAACACAAGAAATCCAAACCACAGGATATTTCACGGAGAATTGCAGATTTTTCGATTTGAATGCTACAAGATGTCAAGGTAGCCAAAAACCATTATGCTCAGGTGTATTGCGCCACAGCGGTCACATGCGTGTAAAAAATCTATGAAATGTGTGCCCTATGACTCACGACACAGGTTTCAAAACAGGTCTGCCTTGAGGTCACCGGTGACCTACGCGGCGCATAGATGCAGGGCAGGGTCAGTTCACTGGTGACCTATGTGGCGAAGAACGTGTTAAGAAATGTAAAGAAAATGCGTCCTACGGCGCATAAACCAACTCTGAAAGCAGGTTGACTGTGAGGTCACCGGTGTCCTACGTGGCGCCTTAATAGAAGACAACCTCCGGTCACCGGTGTCCTACATGGCAGACAATGTGTTAAAAATTATTTTTGCGGAAAAAAACAATCACTCAAACCAAGGCTAAGCTGGATAAATATTATGGGGACTCTGCACCATCCATTTCCATGGTAAAGAAGTGGTTTACTGAATTCCGATGTGGCCGTACAAGCACGGAAGATGCCGAACGTTCTGGACGCCCAGTTGAGGTCTCTACAACCGAAACAATTGAAAAAATTCATGATATGGTTTTATCCGATAGAAGATTGAAAGTGAGAGAGATTGTGGAAGCCATGGCATCTCACATGGCTCAGTGGTTTCAATTTTGAATGATCACTTGGGTATGAGAAAGCTTTCCGCAAGATTGAAAAAATTCATGATATGGTTTTATCCGATAGGAGATTGAAAGTGAGAGAGATTGTGGAAGCCATAGGCATCTCACATGGCTCAGTGGTTTCAATTTTGAATGATCACTTGGGTATGAGAAAGATTTCCGCAAGATGGGTGCCGCGTTTGCTCACAATCGATCACAAACGCAACCGTGCGACAGCACCTCAGGAATGTTTGGCGTTGTTCAACCGTAATAGGGACGAGTTTTTGCGCCGTTTCGTAACCGTGGACGAAACGTGGATTCACCACAACACACCGGAGACCAAACAGCAGTCAAAACAGTGGGTTTCTCGGGGTGAATCGGCGCCAAAGAAGGCAAAGATGGGTTTGTCAGCCAATAAAGTCATGGCGACCGTTTTTTGGGATGCACGAGGTATAATCCACATTGACTACCTTCAAAAGGGTAAAACAATCAATGGCGACTATTATACCAACTTATTGAGTCGATTTAATGAGGAACTTAAAAAGAACGACCGCATTTGGCTAAGAAAAAAGTTCTTTTCCACCAGGACAATGCAAGGGTGCACACATATGCAGTTTCCATGGCAAGAATCCATGAATTGCGCTACGAATTGCTCGCTCATCCGCCGTATTCTCCAGATTTAGCCCCAAGTGACTATTTCTTATTTCCAAACTTGAAAAAATGGCTCGGCGGAAAGAGATTTCACTCCAACGACGAAGTCATCTCACAAACAAATGCCTATTTTGATGACCTAGACAAATCATATTTTTCGGAATGGATAAAAAAATTGGAGAAACGTTGGACTAAGTGTATAGAACTCAAAGGAGACTACGTTGAAAAATAAAATAACTTTTTGTATAAAAACCTGTGTCTTAATCAAAAAGTCACGAACTTATTGACCCGCCCTCGTATCATATAGCCGATTCCTTCAATGACTTTCTGTTTCAAGTCTATAAAAAGTATATTTTATCACCCTGCATAGTTTCATCCACTTGAGGGGGGGTCAAGCCACTTAAAAAGATTTGTTTAAATATACTCTAAAATCAACCTTTTGTTTAAATAATTTTAAAGGTGGGTAATAAAAAAGGTCTCAGTATTGATTTTTCTTATAGTTTTAACTTAGTTTGGCTATTATTACTTACTAACACTTGACAAGCTTTTTACTTTACCTTATACTTAGAGCAGTCGCCCAGATTGCGGAAGGTCATAAGTTCGAATCCCGTCTCAGGGTGCCAGGGACCAAGTGGATTTTTTAAGCATTTTTCATTAAGAATACTTTTCAGTATAGCATTATGAATGCAAAATTGATGACATATAATTGACTTTGTTTATTTAAATAATTTAAATTTTCAGGTTCTTCTGCTCCAGCTCCAGCTGTTCAGATTCCACACATTGTAAAAAGTTCCAGGGCACGAAGGCAAAGTATATTATAGTTTAACTATATGAGATATTTTTGTAACAACTTATGTCCTGGACTAAAGTGGTTTCAAAAATTTCATAGTAGCAACACTAGCCTATAGCTGTCAGACCTTTTTTCTAACCTATCTTTTGCATATTTTCTTGAGTGAATTACGTATTTGTTGTGAATAAAATTAAAAATCATGAGTGATGACGACAATCTTAGACCCAGAAAATGGATCAAAGGAGTAAAACAAAAAGAATAAAAGGCGAAACTATTAAGAAGTCAATATTGCAGAATGTTCCCTATGTAAACTATAAGGGGAATTTGTGCCAACCGAAACCTTACGGAATGGATTGCAGGTTAGATTTTTAACTCTATCTTAATATTAACATATACAATACAGTATATTTTGGATATATACAATATAGGATATATACTTAAACCTATTTTGTATTGTTGCAGATGTCGTGCTAAATGTATACCTGTCCAAGTTTCTGAAGAAGTTTGGGATGAAATTTATAAAAAGTTTACTAGCTTTATAACAAAAAATGAACAGGATACATACCTCCAATGCTTAATGACGCTGCAACCAGTATCTCGAAAGAGGACAAGAAATTCAAATACTAGTAAGGTGAGAACCTCAACAGTCTTATATCGGGTCACACATTCCGCTGGAGAAAACAAAATTTGCAAGAAAGCTTTCATTAGCATTCATGGAATCACTGCAGAAAGATTAAAACGCATTAGGAAACTACTAGCTTTAGGAAAAGCCCCGTGCGACCTACGTGGAAAGAATATTTCCCACGTAATGGATGCCTCAACAAGAATGAGCGTAGAAAATCACATATCTTCATTTCCCAAAAAGGTTGCTCATTATACATCAAGGGAGTATAACTATTTGGATGCTAGGCTCAACATAATGGAAATGCATAGATTGTACAAAATAGCTTATCCGAACACAGAAGTAAAATACTCCTATTACAAAATGATTTTTAACACCTCTTTCAATCTATCCTTTGGACGTCCTCAAGTTGATACTTATTGCGACTGTGAGATATTTGATGCAAAACTAAAAAGTTCCACTCTGAATGAAGTAGCTAAGAGGGCGACGTTAGCTGAACAAACCGTACACAAAAGAAGAGCTAAAAAGTTTTTTTAGGAAATACATTCTTTGACCGAAATTTGTGAATCAGATCCAGCAGTTTATGCAAAAACCATTGATTATATGCAAAATATTCAGCTGCCTAACATCCCAGTCCAGGATATATTCTACTACAGACAACTGAGCCTTTCCCTGTTTAATGTTCACAGTCTAGGATCTGGGAAGTCAAGACTTTATCTCTACCACCAAGGTATTGCCCGAAAGAGTCCAGATGAAGTTACATCATTCATTTCTGATTATATCCATGAAGTTATCCCTCCACAAGTGAAACATTTACATATTTTTGCTGACGCTTGTGGAGGCCAAAACCGGAACAATACTTTGGTGAGACTGTGCTTGGCTCTAGTAGCTACCAAGAGATTTTAAACTGTCACTCAGTACTTTCCCATTAGAGGGCACTCATTCAATCCGTGCGACAGAGACTTTGGAGTAATCAAGCGATCTTTGAAAAAAGTGGACAGATTTTATTTGCCCAAACAATGTGCTGAAATAATACTAAATTCGAGTAAAAAGAAAAATTTTGAATTAAAAATGGTAAAGAATGAAGATGTACTGGGGTTTACTAAATGGTGGCCTCAATATTACAAAAAAAAAGTGATCTCTGAAGAATCAAAAGGCAGTAAGGTGCCGAAGAACAAAAAGCAAACTTTCAATGTTTCAGAGTTTCGCCAATTCGATTACTCTTATCAATTCGTTGGTGCAGTAAAGGCTCACCCGTTCATACAAAACCCAGAGTTTTACACATTCAAACTAGCAAAAGATGCTTCTACACCCATTCTGCCCTCAGATAAAGCATATCCACTGGAAAAATTCCAATAGACGTGAAAAAAATTGCAGACCTGAAGAAAATAGAAAAGTATCTCCCCCCCGAAGAAGATATTGTAACTTTTTATCAAGAGATATACCAATGGCAGACCTCGGAAAATGATGAAGATGAAGAAATTCTTGGTTAAGGTCATTATATTGCTTAATAAAGACATATAATGCAACACATTGTCTTTCATTTTTGGAGAAATTATTGTAACAACTTGAGTCCATCACTTTTAATACATTTTTTTTCATAAACGTGAATTTTTTTTAAATGTTTTAAGATTATAAAAATATGTAAACTTGTGCATATTTTAAATTGTCTAAACAAAGATCTTATGTTTCCATTCATTTTTTTTCAGTATTTAGTTTTTTGTCTCTCCTGAAAAGTTAGCTCTCATGGACTCAAGTTGTTTCAAAAATACCTGATTCAATTATAAGTCAATACAGTAAATTATAAAGCCTTTTACTGTGTCCTCATAAATACAAATGTTTATAAAAATAAACCTAAAAAAACTATGATTTTTAGGTAAAACACTTGAATTTTTAGAAAAGAAAAAGGAGTAAAGTTATGTGAAGAAACAAAAGCAGATGAAAAATGAAATCTATTGTCATAAAATTAGGACAATAAGAATATCCTTGATGGTACATGAAAAAAAACAGTGTCAAGAAGGATTTCAAAAAACTGACAAAGAACATGTCAGAATCTTCAAAGAGGGACAAAAGCAAAAGAAAGGTCGTAAATTTATGTGGGAAGAAAAAATATTATAGCTTTCGTTGTTTAAAGAAGTCCTAAGCCTTAGAAACTGATATGTAAGTATTTCACTTTGCCATTTTAAAAAGGTTTAAATCTTTACTTGCTCAAATTAAATTTTTGCCTGGTACAAATAAACAAGTTTTTAAAGAACTGAAAATTGGTGTTGAGAAAATGTTACATCAAGATCGTCTGTGTACACTGGTATTTGATGAAATGTCGCTATCCCCACTCATTCACTGTATGTTTACACAGATGGCTTTGAACATTTTGGGAATGGAAAATCAGTAAAAAATTGCTAGTCATGTATTAGTGTTCATGGTAAAAGGCATAAAAAAAATTAAATGGCATACTTAGTAGCATACTTATTTTACTTAAATATTACAAAGTGCTAAACTAAGACAAATTCTTAAAGACGGTGTGACTAACGTACAAGCTGTTTTAAAAATAATAGCAACCCTCTGTGATTAAAGTACAGTGAATGTTGGTACTAACTATAAATAGCTTGATATTAGAAGCTAAAACAACATATTTTCAAACTGGAAAAGAATAGCGAAATCATATAATAATTATTAATGATTGTGAAATCATACCTCTTTATTGATTAAAAGTGTACACAATAATTTATTAAATAAAAATATGCATTACGAAACACAAATATAGATATGTCACATGGCGATTTGCGTATTCTGCCTAAACTGACTAGTTAATGCATAGATCCTAGCAAATTGAAAAAAAAAATAGAGCAAAAAATGCTGTGCAGCTTTTGAGTCAATATTAGCAGCAAGTGGAGAAATACCTATGGTATGCAGGGATCTTATACCATATAACAATATGAACGCAGAAAACTACACGAAGTGGTTATAAACGCAATTAATACCAAATTTAAACCCCAATAACGTTGTGGTGGTAGATAATGATCTTACCACAATTCGTTAGAAAATTCCGCTCCCAACTCAAACAGTCGTAAACAATGCATGATTGACTGGCTCTTCGTAATATCGATCATTCAACATCGATGCTCAAACAATAACTTACTTACCTACTTACTAAGAGAATATAGTCACAACGTCCTTCGTCTACCACCCTACAACCCGAATTTCAATCCAATTGAAAATATATGGATGTTGAAAAAAAAAAGTGTCAAAAAGATACAATAATATTAACGAAGGAAAAAGTCGTCACAATCACAGTACAAGTATGGAAAAATCTAAGTGACCACGCAGTAAAAGAAGAAAAAAGTTTCATGGTCATGACGCCGTTCTTGATAATAAAGGGTGTCTCAGCGCCGATTTTAGACTTTAAACACGAATTTCTCGGGAGCCTGCGGGGCTAGCGGGAGGGGAGTAGTAGCGTTCGGTTGGTGACGAATGCGGATTTGTTAGTCGCCATGTCGCAGTGGTCTGGCGCGCACCGCGCTTACGCAGTAGAGGTATACTTTTGCAATGAGTTTTCGTTGAGTGAAGCACAGCGCAAGTTTTGTAATCGCTTTGAAATCCGCCGTTTAAGTGACGCCCCGAATATTCAATTAATTAAGTCGTGGGTAGAAAAGTTTAGAGCGAAGGATGTTTACTGAATCATTCAATTCGCCCCCGAAATAGACCTGTGCGATCGATTGAAAACATCGATCGCGTCGCCGCTGCGGTCGCGGAGCATCCACGACGATCAGTTAGAAAACATGCTGCCTCTTTGAGCCTCCATCGTTCAAGTATTCAACGAATTTTGGCCTTAGACTTAAAATTACATCCTTACAAGATCCAAATAGTTCAAAAAATCAAACCAGAAGACAACAAAAGCGAAAAATTTACTGTCAGAAGATGTTAGAGACTTTTTCAGAGGAAAATGGGATCGACAGTGATGAGTCACATTTTTACCTCAAAGGGTACGTCAATCGTCAAAATTGCCGTTACTGGTCATCAAGCAATCCAAAAGAAAAACATAAGAAAGCATTACACAGCCCCAAAGTTACTGTAAAGTTACCCAAAGTATGGTGTGCAATATCGGCGAAGAAAATCATCGGGACATTTTTCATCGAGAATGACCGAGGTGCAATGGTTACCGTGACGAGCGAGCGGTATATTGATATGATTCCTTTTTTTTTGTACCGCAGCTGCTAGAAGAGGATATTGACAAGTCAAGTGTGTGGTTTCAGCAAGATGGGGCTGTGGCCCCATGTAAGAAATATAATAATCATGACATCATAATATATGTACTATGTTTTTCCTGTTATCTTAATTGATTACAGAATTATTGGGTTGGCACAAAAGTAATGAGACACACTAGAAAAATCTATAACATATAAGCTAGTAAGTAATGAAACTTGACAGTGTAAAATGCTTTTGTTGGTTTTGTAAAAAATAAGAAAAAAATTATATCTTATTAATCTTTTTTATTATAAAATTAAATTCGAAAATCTTCGAAAATTTACACCTTTTATGATATTTTCAACTACCACGACCACAACTTCTCAATTATGTTCAATCTTTTTTTGGTATCGGATACCTAAGTAGCACTACTATTCGCTACAACTCTTAAAAACACCAAAATGCCCGCAGTTTTTACACAAAAAACAATGAAAATGTATTTTTTCCTTAAATTTTCACAGATTTTTATGTTCCGTAATCTTTGACTTACGGTCTTGTAAAAAAAAAGTATGGACACCACTGTGGCAAGTTGTTTTTAAAATTGACTGAACTCATCAAGATTCCAAAATGGTATAATAATCTAAGATAACTAGTCACAGTAAAAAAATATGCACACCATTTGTAAACAACGAACCAAATTATAAATATTCATTAGATATTTATTTATTAGGTAATGCTCTATTTCTGCTATTTTGAAAGTATTGTTTTTCAGATATTTATCGAGTATTTATGAATGTACATCGAGCGTTCTCGGAGGGTCGTTTGCCATCAGCCAGAAGCAACGCTGGAAGATCTAGATCGGAATACGATGAAGAAGTTCTCAATGAAATAAACATTGACTCAACTACTCAGTACGCGCCATAGAAGCAGCTACGGGAATCCCAAAAAGTACGGTTCATCGAATTTTAAAACGTCACAGGATTCACCCATACCACTACAGACGTGTGCAAACATTGCTACCACGGGACTATCCACTACGGATCACATTTTGCCGTATTATGCTTCAAAAGCACCGGGAAGATCCTCAATTCTTGGACAAAGTACTATGGTCGGACGAAACAACATGCAAGAAAGATGGATATTTAAACCTCCACAACCTACACAGCTGGAGCAATGAAAATCCACACCTAATGAGACAGGAAAAATCCCAATATCAGTTTAAGGTTAACCTATGGACGGGCATATTAAATGGAAAAGTGATCGGGCCTTTTGAACTACAAGGAAACTTGGATTGTGACAGTTATTTGAACTTTTTACAAAATGATTTGCCAGAATTGCTTGAAGACGTCCCCTTAAGAGATCTACAAAATATGTTGTTTCAAAATGATGGTTGCCCAGCTCACTACGCTCGTCCTGTGAGACAATACTTGGACCAAGAGTATTCCGGGCGTTGGATTGGGCGACTTGGTCCTATCTTATGGCCACCCCGATCACCCGACCTAAACCCCCTGGACTTTTTCTATTGGGGTTGTCTCAAAGACAAAATCTATGAAAAACCCATTACGACATTGGACGAGCTTCGGCAAAAAATTAGTCAGGCTACGTCACATATCAATGCTAAAAGGTATGCACAAAAATAAAACGCTCTTTTTTAAGGCGATGTCGTGCATGTATTAATGCCGGTGGAAAACAATTTGAACATTTACTGTAATGTTAATTATTAATAAATGAATGAGACTAAAACTCACTATTGTTTTATTTCATTTTTTTTTTTAATATTAAAACATTTCGGAACAGTACAATTTATTACTCCCAACTTTGGTTCTTGATTCTAAATGGTATGATTTTTAGTTTGTTGCTAGTTATCATGAAGTATTATACCATTATGCGTCAATTTTAAAAACAACTTGCCGCAGTAGTGTCCATACTTTTTTTCTACATAACTGTGAGTCAAAGATTACGGAACGTAAAAATCTGTGGAAATTTAAGGAAAAAAATACATTTTGATTGTTTTTTGTGTAAATACTGTGGGCATTTTGGTGTTTTTAACAGTTGTAGCGAATATTAGTACTACTTAGGTATCCGATACCAAAAAAAGATTGAACATAATTGAGAAGTTGTGGTCGTGGTAGTTGAAAATATCATAAAAGGTGTAAATTTACGAAAATTTTCGA